CGGTGTATGCGCACACTCTTGTAACACACGTAGAAGTCAGGATGTTGGGTGCCCTGCTTTGTCTCCTTGCTCCTTTGAGACAAGGTTTCCCACCAGGCCTGGAAGCGAGCAAACCCAAGCTGTCCTCCTGTTCCCTCAGTGCCAGAGTTACAGGATTGCTTGGGATCATGCCCAACTTTTTATGTGGGTTGTGGAGGTTTGAACTCAGAACATCATGCTTAGTCAGCAAGGTCTCTTAGCATTGCAGCCACCCCAAAACCAGGAAAAATACTCAACAGTTGTCAGCGTCGTGGTTCCTTCCATGTACAGCTGCCAGCTCTGTGGGGAGAGCCCCTGTGTGAGGCAGCAAAGGCTTCTCCAGGCCCACAGCCAGCGGCTGGTTGAGATGGTAAACGATAATAGTACACGCTGTATTTAGCAAGCGCCTATTCTATGCTGAGCGCTTCCCAGCCTGCCTCATTTAATCTTCACAAACACCCCCGAGCCGTAGGGACTGACTTTCCCTTTCTGTAAACAGAGCACTCGAGCTGCTGTGCCATCTGCCCAAGGTGGCAGTCACTCTCAAGGAAACAGCAAAGCCAAGATTCCATACCCAGGTCTACGTGGCTCCTTGGCTGGGTTTGCTCGGCAGCTTACGCACTGAGGCCAGAACACACTGCACGGCAGTAGAACCAGGCTCAACCCCAAGTGGAGGTGCTCTTCCCACCCATCAAGGAGGAAATCCAGATGAGGAATCACAGATGTAGGTTCTAGGAAAGTCCCTCTATGAGTCAGGAGAGTAGCGGCAACTCTGTTAGGAGTCAGTGTGAGTGTGGGAGACTAGGGCCCAGGGTTTGAGTCTCCTACTTATCCCCCCATCTCATCCATAGACAACAATTCTGCTCCTGTACACATACCCAAGAGAAACACATACAGAATCACAAAAACCTGAACATGAATGCCCATCGCAGCATTATATCTGACAGCAGAAAAGCGGAAGCCACCCAAATATTTATCAAATATAAGGCGCTCTACCCACACAGCAGATTATTACCCAGCCATGAAAAAAAAAAAAAACCGAGGTCCTTCAACACGGATGCCTAACCTCCATGGATGCCTTGTTTTAAGTAGTAACGCCCACGGCCAATGATCACACATTGCTTGATTCCTTTTTAATGCAATCTCCTGATTGGATACATCAATAGAGACAGAAAACAGGCCAGCAGTTGCCAGGGGCTAGAGGGAGAAGAGGTGGAGAGAGACTGCTAACAGGTGTGGGGTTACTTACAAGAGTAATGGAAGCTTTCTGGAATTCGGTCATGCTGATGACAACAGCCCAATCTATGAAACTGAACTGTAAAATGGTGTGTTCTGTGATCACTGAATTAAATTGTGATTTTAAAATGTCCGAGGAGTAGCACCTACAAAGCAGGGACAACGGAGGGTTACACGGCACAAAGGCACATGGGCAAGGCTAGGAGCTGTGCCTGGCACAGGGTAAGCACCCAGACACAGCGGCTATGTCAGGACAAGCCACACTCACACTGGCTTTCTGCCTGAAGACAAGGGGGATGCTAGTGGAGACGAAGGGGCAGCTGCTGTTAGATTCTGAAGCGGCAGCCCAGCTGGGCCATGCTGCCACCGCAGAGAGCAGTAGGGACACGCCACCTCCCTTCTGTCTCCAAGAGCTGTCTCCACAGCAACAGCATTAGCTCAGGGCAGGGGCTCTCATTCCCAGCCTGGTGACAGCATCACCTCATCAACCTGTCAGGATGGAAAAGGCGGATCCCAAGGATAAGACTGTAGCTCTGGCAGAAGTGCTGAGGGACCCTTGTCTCCATAGTAACCATCAGGAAGGAGGAAGAGGGAGGAGGAGAGGGCAAACGGCAAATAAACAGGCTCTGGAGCCAGCACCAAGCGCCAGGAGGTTACACCAGGCTTCAGACATCTGTTTCCCAGGAGTGAGAAGGGGTTTCTTCAGTGCCTACTCTGTGTCAGAGTCCATTCTGGGCTCTTTACACTAAAATTTACATTTAAAGTCCACAAGCAGGCATGGTGAGACAACCCAGTGGGTAAAGGCACCTGCCACCAGCCCTGATGACCCGAGTTGGATACCTGGATCCACGGTGTGGAAGAAGAGAACCAACTGCTTCAAGTTGTCCTCTGACCTCCACATGCCTACTGTGGAGCATATATGCAGACACAGAGACAGACAGACAGACAAACACAGATATACACACACATACATGAAATAAAGTTTCAAATGTTGTAAAAATTAATCTCACAAGTAATGCCTAAGTACAATCACATTTTGTTTTGCTTTTTAAGACAGGGTCTTACTATACTACCCCAGCAGCTTTTGGATACCCAGACCTCAGCCATCTTCTCCCGCAGGCGTCTCTGTAACGGGACTATAGAAGTTCTCATCATGCCTAGTTTAAGTACTTTCTTTTGAGACACTGTCATGTATCCCAGGTGTTCCGCACATTTATGTACCCCAGGCTGACTCCAAGCTTCTAACCACCATGTCTCTATCTCCAGGGTGCCGGGGTTACAGGTGTGTGGAGCCATGGGCATTTTACTTGGAACTGCGTATTGAATTCAGGTGCTCATTCATCCTAGGTAAGCACTCTACCAACTGAGCTACAGTACAGTCCTCTTTTTATTTTATTCTTTTGTTTTTGAGAAAGTCTTAACATTGTAGTCCAGGCTGGCCTCAAATCACAGAGCCCAGTTGGCTCTGCCCAATGCCATCTTCTGGCCTCTGCAGGCACCTGGACACACATGGTACATAGTCAGACAAGTATATATACACACATACACACACATACATATACACATACACATATATACACACATATATATACACATACAGACATATATACACACACACACATATATACATACAGACACACACACACACACAGACATACTCTGTATCTCGAGCAGCCCTAGACCCTCCCCGATCAATCACCTGGCCTAGCTTCACAGTCTCCTTCCCTGGTTTACAGCAAACCTTGGGGAGCTTCTCATATCAGTGCTCATTTTTCTACTTTTAAACATGTGGTAAAGGTTAGATAATATAAATGTATCATTTTATTTGGTTTTTGGGGGGGGTTGTTTGTTTGTTTTTCGAGACAGGGTTTCTCTGTGTAGCCCTGGCTGTCCTGGAACTCACTCTGTAGACCAGGCTGGCCTCGGACTCAGAAATCTTCCTGCCTCTGTCTCCCAAGTGCTGGGATTAAAGGCGTGCGCCACCATTGTCTGGCTAAATGTATCATTTTAAACACTCTATTTTACTACGGAAAATATATTAAACATTAGAGTTACCATTTTTTGACCTTTATTTTTGTTTTTCTGGGTGCTAGAGATTAAACCCAGGCCCTTTTTTAAAGACAGGGTCTCACAGACCCCAGGGGGGCCTCAAACTCACTATCTAGCTAAAATGACCGGAATTCCTAAGGCTCTTGCTTTTGTCTCCCAGGTGTTGGGACAGTAGGTAGCAACAACACACCCCTGCTTAGAGCACATGCACAATCTGCCTCCAAAACCCTTTCATCATCCCAAACTAAAACTCTATTCCCACCCCTAAGCCCGTAAACAGTGAGCCCGCTCCTCCTCCCCTGCCCAGCAGCTCTGCTCCCTGTCTTACGGATCTCACTACTCTAGGGATCTCAGATAAAGGGAAGTTTACAATATTGACCCTTTGCTTTTGGCCCTAAGGCTTGAACCCAGAGACTCTCATGTGCCAAGCACATGCTCTACTACTGGGCTGCATTCCTCTGGTTGCACAAACTTCTTAGTGATCCAAAACGGCCCCTTAAGCTGGTACTATTTGCATACTGACACCACAGAGGAAGAAGCTGGGACTTGGAGGGAGAAGTGGCTTCAGACATGTCTACTGAGGAAAGGCTGGGGCAAACTCAACAAGCTGCAGCTGAGAGCCTCGGTTTCTCTACCTGTGCAGGAAGAACAAACGGGCTTTGTAACGTCCCTCCTTTTCACCATCAGAGATGAAAGAGACAAGATTGTGTGTGATGCTACCCAGTGCATAGGCAGCCGGCAGCCAGCAGGAAGCCTCCCACCCAGCTCCAGAGCAACCCTCAGGGCAGCTCCTCCTCTCTCCACCCTACGTGGCACTGGCCCATAGCACCAACGTGCCCAGGGGGAGGACAGAAACAGGACTGCTCTGCCCTGGAGACTGTGATGTCTCAGTCCTGAACTTCTGGCATGCTGGGTTTCTGGGAAGCAGGTGGGTGCCCCAGAAGAATGTACAGCCTGGGATGCCTCCTGGACAGCCAACCAGCTGAGGGCCAGCAGCTATGCCACTGGGGCCAGAGGCCACCTAGTGTTTGTACTACTGACCCCACCAGGAACCAGGAGTTACCCAGGCTTTAAGCATCACCTGGGCTGATGGCTTTCCACTGTGAAGTCCCCTGCAGCCTGCATGACCTTGAGAACCTGCCTCACTCATCCTGGACGGATGCTGTTTGCTAAGCCACGGAATGTCCACAGCTTTGTTGGGCCTTTTCGGAGGTTTCTGAGAAAAACTGTCCTTATGTGAGTGCAACACACAGCTCGAGAAGGTACAGCAGGAGGAGGGGCTGACATCAACCAAGACTGGGGACATGGGGTCTGGAAGTCACATTCAGAGACAGAAGTGGGAGACACAGGCCTAACATCCTTTTCAAATCAAGTGGCCACAGCACAGTAGTCCCTAAAATGTCTCCACACAAGCTAGCCAATAGCCCTGTCAGTGACCAGGGAACAACTGCCAAACCTTATACATACATAAGGAAACTGAGGCACAGAGCCAGGCACATGCTGTGCATTGCCCAACATACCCTCTGATAATCTCAAGAGAGTAACCAGGGTTGAGTACAGATTAGGTGCTCAGCAAATGCATGCTGGAAGGGTGGATGGAGACACAGCACCGTTAAGGCACAAGGGTGCCCGTCTCAGTCCACGGCAACAGGCAGGGATGCGCATCGCACCTGCCCCAGCTGGGCTTCAGCCCTCACCTCTCTGGGACGATCAAGCTCCGTCTGTAGCACCTGCTTGGCCAGCTCTGTCTCAATGAGCCTCTGTCGAAGCCCTTCGTTCTCCTCCTCCAGCCTCATCCGCTTCTTCTCCACCACCTCCAGCTCCTTGTGAAGCCGCATGGAGATGTCCTTAGAGACCTGAGCCAGGGTGGGAGAGAGAGAGAGGGTGTGTTCAAGCGGGAGGACACACATCGAGTCTCGGTGAGCATCCCACCTCAGTTACAGTTACCTCTTCACCCTCACCTAGCAGAGAGGCCCTAAGACTCACCAAGAGCCATGAATCTAGGGAACTGACAGATCCAAACCCAAACCCAGGCACCCCAGCTCCCAATATGTTTCTTCCTCAAAGCTGTGATGATCTTGTCTAGTTTTTTTTTTTTTTTTGGTTTTTCGAGACAGGGTTTCTCTGTATAGTCTTGGCTGTCCTGGAACTCACTCTGTAGACCAGGCTGGCCTCAAACTCAGAAATCTGCCTGTCTCTGCCTCCCAAGTGCTGGGATGGGATTAAAGGTGTGCGCCACCACCGCCCGGCTGATCTTGTCTAGTTCTTAAAGGTGCCTTTATATTCAGCCAGACCTGTGCTGGAGTCCGAACCCAGCCTTGCTTCTCTCTGGCAATTGCTCTACCACTAAGCAGTATTCCCAGCCCTGCTTCACAAGAGCCTGAAAGGGAAGAGAGCTGGTTTGGAAGCCCAGCACAAAATGGGCAGCATGTGATCCTTGGCAAGTCATTTCCTGGCCTTGTGCCTCAGTGTTCATGACGTATAAAATGGGCACAGCAGTAGAAGGACAATCTCAGGGCCAACAGCAGAGTCACATCAGCTATTGCTTACAAAGCCTTCAGCCGATGTCTGCCACAGTGAGTGTCTGGTGACTCGTGGCTGCTGCTCCTAGGAACCGAGGTTCAGAGACAGGCATGATTTGCTGGAGGTCACAGTGACCCTGAGGCCTGTTCTGGGATAAAGAACATGCTAGAATGACAAAGGCTGGGCAAGTGGCCAAGCCATCCCTTAGAGGCGGCTAACAGAACATCAATCTCCAGTCCCAGGTCCAGGCTCAGCAGGAAAAGCACCCTAAAATCCGGAGGATCCCCTCTGTCCTAGCCCTGCTGCTGGGTATAGGGAGGCAAGGCAAGGGGCTGAGGTGGAGTGAAGTAAGCTCTCCTGAGCTGGTATATGCAAATTAAGTGCTACTCCCCAGGTAGGCTGGGTCCTGCTAACACCACCTACTGAGTCGGACTTAATGTTAGCTACTGAAGGTCAGAGCAGATGTGACTTTCTCAGGGTCACACACAATGAGCATGCCTGGGCTGGGCTGGGTCTCCCTAGGGTTTAGAGGAGCCAGCATAGCCAGAGACCCCCAGGAGCCTGAAGCCCTTGTTGGCAAGGCCAGTGTGGCACAGACAATCCAGCACCCAAGGCTGCCAATGTCGGAAATGACCATGTGCCTCCCTCCCTCTGGAAGGGAAGAGGCCCTCCCTGGCTGGCTCTGCCCTCTGCCTGGGCCCAAGCCCAACTCAGCACAGACCCCTTTGGCAGTAGTGTTCAGGAAAGGCCAGGAAAAATAACAGTTGAGAAGAAATTGGGCACAGCTCTCCTCTCTCCTCAGTCCACTGTTCCCTCCAGCCTGGAGATCTCTGAGGATGTCAGACGGAGACCCACAAGTCTCCCCTGTAGCCACTGTGGGCCACAAAGCTTTCCCTACCCTTCAATTAAAAAAAAAAAAGATTTTGCAGAGAAGAAAACTCAATTCAAACCCAGTGCCAGAACTCTGGCCATCTGGAGCCTGAGTCTGGTCAGCAGTAGATGGGTAGATCACTGTTCCTGGGGCTGCTAGAGGGGGCAAACGGCAGCATCAGGGCTTGCTTGAGTGGAGGCTGGAATCCAGACGGTGCTCAAATATACAAAGCTTCTTAGTTACTCCTGTTTTTAAATAATTCAGTCTATTTACTGTATTACAGAAGTTGTATTTATTTCATAGTTTCTTGACCTATTTTTGATTGTGTTAAACATTTAAGAGCACACAGTGCAGCTCAAAGGCACAAGGTCAAAGAGCCATCTACACAAGGATTTTGATTTTTAGGCTGTGCTGGGAATGGTTGGGCTTTTGGGCACACTAGGCAAGCATTCTCCCTCTCAACGACATCTCCAGGGACACAAAAAGTTTTCCTCCCAAGGAGAACCTCGAGCTTGCTACTAGCCAAGGATGGCCTTGAACTTCTGATCTTCCTGTCTCTGCTCCCAAATGCTGTGCTAATCCTATGCCACCTTGCTGAGTCTATGCAGTGCTGAAGACCAACCCAGGGCTTTGTGCCTACTAGGCAAGCACTGTGTCTACTGAGCCACAAAAGCATTCCCACGATTACTGTTTTGCCTCTTTGTATTGAACCATGGCTCAGGCTTAAGGCTATCGTTCCCAATTTGGGGCTATTAGGTCACTCAGGAAGCCCTGTCCTCACCAACATTCCATTCATCCATCCATTCATTCATTCATCCATTCATTCATCTCACCTTGGTGCTAGGGTGGAAGTGGTGAGCCACAGAAACCAGGGCTATGCATATCTAGATACATTTACACTTGTGTCCTGGCAGCAGCAGCTCGGGGCTCACCACAGACTGAATGCCTAATAAATGCTTGTTGAATGAACAAACATATCAAGACTCAGCACATGAAAAAGGAGGAGTGGCTATCGGAGTATATATGGGAGCTGAACCTGCCCTAGCTAGGTGGAGGGCACTCCCCTCCACTGCCCCTGCCCCACTGTCCAAAGAGGGTCACTGGGGCCAAGGGTCATTTCCCAAACGTGCTTCTATTGGGGTAGGAAGCGCTGTCTCTCCATGGCCTACCTGGGAAGCTGCAGCATTCCACACAAGAGAGCCCACAAGCTTAGATCCCTGCATTGAGTGCCTTGTAGCCTCCATGAACGTCAGGAAGGAAAGGTTACCATCGTCACCTCCCGGTCCAGATTTCCAGTGGTCCCAGGGCTCTCACAGGTCACATATAGAATCAGTTAGGTCTTCCCCAGGCCATGAGCACAGGCTTTTCTCACCCTCTGGACATATTTTATGACCACTTTCCCAGAAAGGAAAGGGTGGTTGCCCAAGGTCACATGACTAGGAAGGTACCAAGCATGGGTCAACTCTGATACCGCAGGAGGGCTTGAAGGAATAAAACTATGAACAAGGGACTGTCAACAGCAAGTCCCAACATGGCTTTCTATGTCCAGAGAGCCTGAAGGGCCACATGTGCCTGTCTCATTGAGCCCCGCAGTTATACCCTAAGGAGAGGGCCAGAAAACAAACAGAGGAGAGGCAGCCTCGGCACAGGCAGATGCCTAAAGCACAAACAACTGTGCTCAGTCATGAGGTCACTGTTTACAGTGCTGGCCTCGGTCCCTGCCAAAGGCCATCAGCAGCTGGGTAGATCAGCCTCTGGGCTCTGAACCTGGGATTGCAGTAAGTCCTTGTGGCTCTGATCTTCAAGGAGAGAGATGGAAACCATAAGCAGCAATCCAGGCCAGGCAAGAATCCTGAGGCATGTGTGACCAAACTCAAAAATCACAGGATGGGTGTGTCACCCTGTTTGACACAGAGGGAAACTGAGGCTCTAAGGAGGAGTGATGCACATCACCCAGGACACAGAGACAAGGCCAGAGTATCCTTATATAAGGATGGGGGACATATTACAGACATGTTCTGGGGCTTCCTGTGGACCCCAGAGTCCCCCAGCCGTGGCCCCTCCCATCACGCGCTCCGCTGACTGGTGCCACACCTAACATACAGGACTCTATTTGGTAATTTCATTTTCTATTCATAAAAGTCTCTATAGAAAAACAGGATCAGAGATGTGAAGCAGCTGACCCAAGCCCACACAGCCACAAAGTGGCCAGACCATCCTCGTGCTAAAGAGTCTCCCTGCTGAGGGTCGGAGATCTCATTAACTGTGTGGATCAGCAAAAAGTGAAAGAGCCTGGGAGGGTTTCTCTGGGGTGGCGTCGGGGATCTCACTAATAACACACCAGCTCAATAAAACCACCAGATCTCAAAAGCACTGCAGGGCACAGGGCCAAGGAGCCTGCAGAGCAGGAGAGGAATCCCTAGGCATACCCCTCCCCGTCCCTCTCCACCTGGTTCCCTCAGCCTGCCTAAGGGAAGCCAGGGAAATCAGCATTCTGAGGATCTCCATAATTGCCTCTAACATTCTCAGCACTCTGGGACGAAGGGTGATGGCAAAGCAGTGCGGCCAGCTACTGCAGAGCCAGAACGTGAGCTCATCGCTGCAGCTGTGGGGGTGGGCAGGAGAAGCGCGGAAATGCTGATTGGCTCGTTCAAATCCCAACAGAAGGGCCCTTCCCCTCCTCCTTGAGGGCTGGGCCCCACCCCCCCCCCCCCCGCCCTGGGCCCCCCCCCCCGCCCGCGCCCCCCCCCCCCCTTCTTGGTCGGCTTGTCTAGGGTTCCTCTCAGAAATCCTCAAAGACCAGGGCCCAACCGCAGATCCGCCTGAGCGTCTCCACTCTTTCCCTCTGTCTCTGTCTCTTACCGATGAGGGAACCGGAAGGTTGTTGTTTTTTTAATCGTATTTTGTTTATGGTTTTTTTTTTTTTTTAGATAACAGGATCTTGGTGTGCAGTCAAGAAAACTGGCTCCACACAGGTACGCAGGCTTGCGTGGAGTCGCAGCCTTCCTAAATCAACACTGGTCACGGAATGCACAGCGTCCTTTCTGAATGCCTTGCAGGGCTGGATTCTCAGGGCCTTCCAGGAGCAGGAGTGTGTGGCTGGCTCAGCGCCCGTGTGCCCTGGGGGTGGGGGGAGCCTTGGGAATCCTAGAACATCCCCGCCTCATGCCCTCTTCTCCCTTGGGCTCCCTGCATAATTCCTAGGCTCCTTCCAGTTCGGTACCAGTCACAGCACCCTTGGTTCCCTGTTCACACAGGACTGAGTTCTATGAGCAGAGGCTGGCCCACGGTCCCCACTAGTCTCCTGGATCTCTGACCTGTCTGAGTGGGGCCATTCCCGCCTGCTCCTTGGGTGGAGAGCAGCAGGGTCCAGCAGTGAGGTCTGAGAGGTGGATGAGCCTAACTTATGAGCCTGGATAGGTGCTTCTCTCCTCTGAACCCCAGCTCCCACCTAAGGAAAACTGACACAGTAATAATAGCTAGTCACCGTCATTCCCTCTTGTGTCTTAAGCCAGAGTTTCAATATCCTGGATTGTATGTCCTTATACCCATTTTGCAGATGAGGAAATCAAAATCCCAAAGCCCAGGTACACTGGAGCGCAGCTCTGAACCATCCTGGTTCAGCTGCAGTCCTTCTATCTCTGGATAGCATAAGAAGCCTGTGGAGCTGAGCAGGGACCACAAGTAGGGGCTCCTCAGAGGCCAAGGCCACACACAAGGCCAACACACAAGAAACAACCTCTTGCTGCTTCAGGAGGGTTCTTGTCATACCATTTTCTGGATCTCCCACTTGGAGGACCTGCCGATCCCCAGGGGTCCCCACTTTGAAGATGGGAAAACTGAGGCCCAGAGAGGCAGGATAATTTGCTCAAGGCAAGCAGTAAGCCTGAGGCCTAACCTGGATCCCCAATGGGGTTTATGATCCAACCACCCAACAAGGGCACCTATTAAGGTTGGCGAAGACCCCAGACTGACCTTTACGTCCTGTTCCAGACCACGGATGAGTTCTCCATCAACCTGGCCTGTCTGGGCAGCGCGGAGGCTGCGGCGCTCAGCTTTCCGAAGTCGGTACTGCAGGATGCGACAGGTCTTGCTGGCTTGGTCCAGCTGCTGCCGCAACTCCTGCAGCTGGTACACGTCTTCCTCCATGTAGACATCCCGCATCTCCAGCATCTCAGCCCGTAGCTCCTCGATCTCATCCTGCAGCAAAAAGAAATGGTCAGACCCCCAGATGCCACAACAGTAGCCAGGATGCCTGAATGCTGGCCACACTCAGCAAGCCGACCTGGGGGTCTGGGGTTTCAGGCTGAACACCACCACCCAAAGACAGTCACAGCTAAATTCAGGGGATCATAAATATATGCCTTCCATGACAAAACAGGCTTTGCAAATGAGACTAAGAGAAGGGTCTCTAGACAGAAGTATTATTCTGGATGATCTGGGTGAGCAGTGAAAGGGAAGCTAGTAAGAGCAAGCAATGTGAGGCAGAAGTAGAGGGAAGACAGCCAAGCTCTGCAGGTGGAGAAAAGACCACCAGCCAAGGAGTGCAGGCAGCCTCCACAAGTGTGAACCGTCCACAAGTGTGAACTGTCCACAAGTGTGAACCATCCATAAGTGTGAACCGTCCACAAGGGGAGAAAAACCCAGGAGAGGATGCTGCTTGTCCTAGAGCACTCAACAGACATGTGGCCTGCCAGGATTTGAGTCTCAGAGACCTGGAAGATAAGCTAAAGCTATACCACTCTTATGATTTGGATCTTAAAGCCCCTCCCCCCTCCAAAGTCATGGCTCTACTGGGAAGTGGTGGACCATTTTCAGGAGGCAAGGCAGAGACATCTTTGGAGAGGGCTCTTGAAGGGCTATTGATACCCTGTGTCCTCCCTCCCATGAGGTGAGCAGCCTCCTGGGCCACACTCTCCCTGCCTTGATGCTCTGTGTCACAGGAGGCACAAAATGACCTTGAACGGAGGCCTCCAAAAGCACAGAAAACACAGCTTTCCTCCGTAGAAAATACAGCCTGCCTTCTCTTGTCTCAGGCATTTTGTCATAGGGACAGAGGGAACAGTAGAGGCTTGCTGCAGAAGCAATGAGAACACACATGAGGGATCAGCTCCACAAGCGTTCACGAGTGTCTGCTACATAACCAGCACTGTGCAGCACACAAAACCAGGGAGGGGTGTTAGTGCACAGCCTTGTTGGGAAAACAAAGTAAACAAAAAAGCAAACTCAGATACCGTTAAGTATCACAGAGGCAAAAATAACAAAGTAACCACGTGGGTTACATGGCAGTGAGCAGCAATGTGGGAAATATGGGGGGGGTCTTAGGGGACATGGTCAAGGAGGCCACCTCTAAAAGAAGGGACATTTAAGCCAAGGCAAGAAGCAACATTCACAAGAGTGCCAGGAAGGGGGAACAGTGTATACAAAGGTTCAGAAATAGAAAAGAACCCAATGTATCCAGACACACCAAGAGGTTGAGTGTAGTGGTGCATGCCTTTAATCCCAGCACTTTCGAGGCAGAGGCAAACAGATCTCTGTGAATTCGAGGACAGTCTGGTCTACAGAGTAAGTTCCAAGATAGCCAGGGCTACATAGTAAGGGCTTGCCTCAGGTGGAAAAAAAAGATACATCAAGAGGACAGGTAAGATGGGTAAAGGTGCTGGCCACCAAGTCATCCTTTGTTTGATCCCTGGGACCCACATGCTAGAAGAGAGGAGAGAACCAACTTCTGCAAGCTGTCCTCTGATCTCCTCACATGTTCTATGACACACACATATAAAAATAAATGTCATTTAAAAAGTATATTTGTTTGTCAAGTAGTTGACAAAATGCCTTTAATCCCAGAACTCAAGAGGAAGAGCCAGGAGGATCTCTAAGTTCAAGGCCAGCCTGGTATACAGAGTGAGTTCTGGACAGCTACATAGAGAAACCCTCTCTCTGAAAAAAAATTAGTTTTAAGTCAAAAGTATGTTTATTTAATAATGGTGCATACCTTTAATCCCAGCGTTTGAAAAGAGGCAAAGGCAGAAAGGCAGGATCTCAGAGCAGAGTGACCTGATCTCAGACCAGGCCAGCCTGGTCTATATAGAAAGCTGCAGGCCAGCCAAATCTTAATACATAGTGGGACTGTTGTCTAAAAAAAGCATTTGTTTGTTTTCCTTTGTTTTAAAGTTTGAGCAAGAGTCAGGCATAGGGATATGGGATTAGGAAGATCATGATTTCAAAACCAGCCTCATCTACGTGAGACTGTCCAAAACCCACAAGGCTGAGGAAATAGAGGGGGCAGCCATGCAGGCCTGGAAGGTCTGGTTTGAGTTTTACATGACCTCGCTCAGGAAGCCCAGCTACTGCCACCTCTGTCACAGCTCCCATGTCACAGCGCCTCACCTCCCTCAGCTCATCTGAGACTGCGTAACAGTGGTCTCCCAGTGACCGTGGGAATCCAAGGGCCCCCTCCCTGCCTGCCTCCCAAACCCAGCCCTTCTTAGCCTCCTGCAGACTCCCAACACACTCTAACTGAATGAATGAAAACATGCCTAGGTAATGAAGAGAGAATAAGAGAGACTTCTCACTGTGAAAGATGGGGTGTGACTCCCAGACACTACACGGAGGGGAATGTGGACGCCTCGCAGAAGAAACACATAATTATGTCTCATGAGAAATATGGAAACTGAGACACAAACATGAATAATATCTACTGTTAGCTTGAACAAGACTGCACACAGAAGGGAAATCGAGTCATCAGGGACGAGGCCCTGACGAAGGCTCTGCTCCTAGGAGAAACACAAAGGTTGGTACTGACGGAAGCAGGGAGACAACCAGGAACAGAAAGGCCACTCTGGAGAGGACACTGGATCTGGAGGGCTAGAGTCCCCTAAAGAAGATGGGAATAAAGGGGAGGGTGTAGGGGTGGGATCCCCTCTGTTCCTCACACCCTTCGCTCACCCCAGGGGTCTGCATAGTCTGGAAAAGGAAACACCTCTCCTCACGCCTGCCTGCCAGCTGCCACTGGGATGAGCACAGGCTGTGGGTCCATACTGCAGTGGGACCAGACTATGGCCTGACTGCAATGGCTCCCTGTGGGGGGAAGGGGTGTAGCCTGCTGGATTGATGGGCAGGTAAGAAGCCAAATTATCCAGGCCACAGCACACCCCAGGGGCCCTCCCATCCATCTGCCTAGCTTCTGGAACTATTTCTTAGAACCTAGGAAAGGAAGACAGAAGTGACAAATTGGCAGCTCCACCCCACCACATGCTGTCTCCCTCAACTCACAACTGATCCAAGTATCCCTACTCGCAGCACCAGACTGTGTCCTGAGGGTGTGTTCACTAGCAACTCCAGAGAGGGTGACCCTGCCTACTCTACTGGCTGCAGAGGATCAGTCATCCCAAAGTCCCCAGAGTCACCACCCCACACCGTGCCAAATGGGCAGACCAGAGTGCACGGGGAGGAAGTGAGACAGTCTGTGAGAGAAATGGGGAAGTGAGGAGCGCATACACCAGCTCAGCCGGCAGGGAAGGGGGCAGCAGGGAAGAGGCAGGAAGTGAAGGCAGACAGCTACATCCATGGCTCAGGCTGCAGGGCCTTGCCATCCGTGAGCAGATCACATGTTACCCTGTTATCCTGACAGAAGTGGGAAGATGTGAGGGCCAAGATGTGACTCTAGGTCAGAGTGAGTCAAGGGGGACACAGGCACACTCAAAGCTCAAGCTGCTGAGACTCATTAGCAGATGTGTGCCATTTAGATCACAGAGGGTGACGTCCCTCCATATTTTAAGTAATGAGCTTTTGTGAAAGTAGTACATGGTCAAACAGAAAGTTTTGAAAAAAATACAGAAAACATCAATCACAATTTCTTTACCTGGTTCTGAGTGACTGCTCCCCAGAATGGTAGAGCTCACTGATAGTGTCTGCGTAACATACTCGGGAGTGTGGGTCTACCCCAAGTGCTATGCAAACCTCCCCATTTCCCGATCCAGACCTACTAAGTCAGAAACTCGGGGACTGGGCTCCCCAAGTGATTCTGAGGCAAGGAATTTCCTTCCCACTTTCTTCCCCACAGAAGACAAGAGTCCCATGTCACAGCACAAGTCCCTGGTTCTGTGCCTGACACAGGCGTCTAGGGAAGAAGTGAGTGAATGACTATCCCCGACAGCTGTCTCTTGGGGAACTGCCTTCACCACAGTGCAGGCTGTTGTGGACATGCCAACTCTGTATCTGAGGAGGTCTGGGGGGCTGAGGCCTCTGGGGGCTTGCCCCAGCTGCAGGCAAAACACCCACCAGCCCCTCCTGGCACGGCTCGAGCTGACAAAAGCAGGCTTGTGGGCCACATGGGCGGACACTGTAGAGCTTAGGCAGAGACTCTGGGTGTCTGGGCCTGAGGTGGGGGCAGGGAAAGGACAGAGGCTCGGTGTACACACCCAGCTCAGAGATCTTCTGGACACCCGGGCCCTGCAGTCAGGGTTTTGCCTTCGGAGGCTCTGAGGTGGCAGATCCAGCTGGAGAGAGCTGAGACATAGGCCTCCTGGCTTCACAGACAGTCCAGAAGCCCCACAGAGATGCCCCCTCTTGAAGTCTTCCATAGGCCATCAAGAAGGAGGGATCAATCTCACAGAACAAGGTTTTGAGGTTTCCCCTCCCCAACATGGGGGCACTCCGAGTCTCACCCTCTGCCTAGATTTAAAAGGCCACACTGTGCAGTGCCCATCTTGGAGTCTGAGGAACCCCAGTTCTCAAACCCACACCCTGAAATGAACTAGACCCTTAGACTGTTATCAACCCTGAAGAAGCCAAAGAAAGGTGTCACGCAGTCCTGCCAGGCTCTGATTTCATGCTGCCCTCTGTCCCTTGAAAGGGACGCCTAAGCCCAGGCTACAAACAAGGAGAGGAAGGGAGGGCAGGGTCTAGGGACAGTGCAGTATGCACGATTATCCCTTTTCAAGGGGCCTTGGCTCTGTTCAGAAGGCAGTGTCTGTTAATTAGAGAAAATCTGAATAAAAGCAGGTGGTGTTCAGGCTCATTCCACTAGCTTCTGCTTCAGGTTCAAGCCCCTGACCTTTGACCCCTTGGCCATGCCCCAGTCTGCTCCCTATTCTATCTTGCACCTGGACACGGAGACATGCTAGGACCTAAAGGCTGGCCCTGGTCTACAGAGAGGCTCACACACAGGCCCATCCATGTACTTCTGACTGCTAAATTTC